ACCAAGTACTACAGTATAATTATTTGTTGCTATATAATTAAGATTTTCAGTATATTAACTAAAGTAAAATGTATTTATTAATGGGTATGTTTCACCTATTTCGGCGCAAACTAATGCCTATTTCGGCTCTTTAGCTGCCATACACCTAGTCTATTTCGACTTTTTTTTTTTTTTTTTACATTTACCAAATTATTACCGAATTTCTTTCTTTTAATAACCCCAAAAACTCTACATTAGGACCTAAGGTTGTCACGTCCTCTCATGTCCGGGCGCCAATGAAATGGTATTTAATTTATTTTACAAATTAAAAAATTAATTTTTGATTACAATTCGTTTCTGTATTAAATAACAATTTAAAAATTTATATAAATATCAATATATACAAAAATAAACATATTTCTTTCTATGTACTATTTAGTATGTGTACGATTAGTCGTAGTTATGTTTCTAACCTTAATTTCAGTTGTACTGGTGATGCAGTGTTCATTGATGTAGGAGTTCAAATATAGTTGATATTCGTGTGTATTTATTCGCTGTTCTCTCAAACATAGTTTGTTGATATTTCCATTTTAATTCATCATAAAAAATCTTATTGTTACTTGTTAGTTTTTTATTTTAGAGAGAAAACGAAAAACAAAAGTGTTCATTTTATTTAATACATAGATATCATAACCAACCAACTATTTTATCTTCTTATCACTTTGTTAGGTATGACAACATTTTTCCAGCGCCGCCACCACATAATGTGAATGTAAAAGTCCCACACGACGTTGCCGCATATTATACAATAATACGAGTAATAATACAATAATAGAACATTTACAATATTTCATCTAAACTGTACCATTACAAGAAAATAACACTTTAACTTAACTTTAACTTTTTAAGTAGTTAATGTCCACCATTGAAGCCCTTTCTCTGGATTACAAATCGTCCATCGTACGTTATTATGGGGATTGTTCTTTTGATTACCGCATAGGTGGTTTGACCTCAAGAGGGGAGCAATAGATTCTACCCAAATAATATATAAAGTAGATCGTTGTCAATCAACATTATTCAGTCATCGTTTGGTTTAAACACTCTTAACAACCAAAACTTATTTATTTATTTATTTGAAATGGCTTTCAAAGTAAGTACTGAAAAATTAAAACATCAAATGTACTTGTATATTATTTTTTTTTTAACGAGAAATAGTTTTAAGTGTTAAAGTGGTCTAATATAATTAATGAAATCAATAACGCAAAACTAGTGGATTTTTCATAGTGTAACATAAGTGTTATGAATTATTTTATGAAACAAATAACTAAATTTATAAACAGTGTTTTAACTATTATTAAAAAATTATCTGATTATAGTATTTCTAATTAAGAATATTAATATTGTAATAAAAAAAAAATTACTAATTTTTATAATACATTTGACATTTATAATTAAAGTATTTTCATTTTTTTACGAGTGATAATATAAAGAAAACTTTGTTACGATCATTTTCTATTAAATTTGCAATAGAGTGAAATTCAATATAACTGATTAATGAATCATTTGTTTTTACTGAATTTTATTTTTAAACAATTGATAAAAATTAAATTAAAATATTTTGATTTCAGTTCGTCGCCATAATTGCCTGTGTATTGGGATCCGCACTTGCCGGCCCGTTGGCACCAGCCTACCCTGCACCGTCTGCCTACCCAACACCAGCTGCCTATTCAACACCAACTGCCTACTCAGCTCCATCTTACTCCGCCCCAGCTTACAAACCAGCATATTCTGCACCAAAATCCTACGCCCAAGAAGAATCTTACGCTCCAGCTCCATACAACTTCGAATATTCCGTCAACGACCAATACACTTATGATGTCAAAAGCCAACAAGAATACAGTGACGGAAACGGATACGTCAAGGGATCCTACAGTTTGGTCGAACCTGATGGCACCAAGAGAATCGTTGAATATACCGCCGACGACTACAACGGTTTCGTCGCTGAAGTGAAAAAGGAAGGAACACCATCATACAACTCCGCTCCAGCTTACAATTCTGCCCCAGCTTACAACAAACCAGCATCGTACCCAACCCCAGCTGCCTATCCAGCACCAGCTTCCTACCCAGCTCCATCTTACTCTGCCCCAGCTTATAAACCAGTGTACAAACCAGCTTATCCAACTGAAGCTTATCCTTCAGCTCCAGCTTACGGATACTCTACCCCAGCTCCAGCATACAAACCGGCTTCATACAAACCACAATATTAAGTTAACTTAGTTTTAAAACAAAATTTTTAAATTATTCTATTTTATGTAAATAAAATACATTTGACATCCAATAATTTATATATTCTTTTAACCTATCCAAATTATTATTTAATGGAATATATACAGGCTGATTTTTTTATGATAACCCACTCAATTACTTACAGAATAATAATAATTTAAAATTTTTTTTTAATTTTTATCTTTAGTTACACATTATTCTTGAATTATTAACTATGTAATACTTTTTAAGTTCATCCCTTATGCCTGGTAAGGGTGTCAACTTTGTTTTTTTAAATGGTAACACATATTTTTAATTTAATAAAATGTTTGAGTTTTTAATTCAATAATAAATAGCATTTGAATTTTTAATAAAACCTAATTTGTTTATTAGATATAAACATTTAAAGTTTCAATTTTTTGAGTTAATATATAGGTATAATACACAAGGGATTACAAATATAGGAAGCTAATTGGTTTTTTATGATATTGCTATTACAGTCACGGATTGTTTATTATCAATTATGACTATCAATAGATATACTTTTTGTATTGTCAGTTAGTGTATTTATAAACTCACAACAATGTACCTTACTATCATTGATAATAACAATGACGTGTACCTGCTAATATCGATGATTATTAATTTTTGTTATATTCAAGTAGATTTTTTTATCAAATTTCACTTAATTACTGACAGAATAAAAATAATTAAAACATTTTTTTATTTTGTTACCTTTAGTTACATATTATGTTTGAATTATTAGCTATGTAATATTTTTTAAGTTTACGGGTTTTAAGGATGTCAACTTTGTACTTTCAATCGGAAAAATATTTTTAATGTTTAAGTTTTTATATATGTATAGTAGTCATGGAATGTTTATTGACAATTATAACTTTATCAATAGATATTCTCTTTGTATTGCCAGTTGGTGTATTTATAAATAATTTATAAATACATATTATTCATAATTATCAAGATGTCTGTTACTACTATTAATAATAAATGCTGTGTATCTGCAAATATACGTCATAAATATTCAATTAACTACATGTATTTGTAATCCCTCAAGATTTATACATGATTTTTAACATTAAATTAAAAATTTGAAACTTTAAAATATCAGTTTTTATTTACGTTTTCATTTTATATTTATACTTAAGATAATTATTTAACCAAAAATAATTATTTTCCGTCATAAAATCAAAATAGTTTTGACTTTATTCAAAACATCAAGTGTTGTTTCAAATTAAGTTTAACATAATAATAATACATTACATCTAGTTCGTTTATATTAAAAATACAATTTTCATTTGAAAACATTTCTTAGAGCTATCATTGACTAACTAATGAAAAGCTTTGTTTATTAAAGCTTGAGACTAAACATCAATTAACAAAAACTCTGAAATGCTCTCCCAGAGTATTGTGTAATTATAAAAAAAAATTCTTGTTTTCTATTTTGTATCATTTCATATAAAATGTTACAATTAATAATTATTATAACAAATATGTTTAATATTTTGTTATTTGATATATATATATTTCAAATAATATACTTACTAAATCTATGGATATATCAATTTCTTATTATACTATTAAAAATGTTGTTAAATCGTTTTTTTAATTGATGAACTGTTCATATTTTTTTGCAAAATATAAAATTAAGTGTTTTAAATTTAATATGATAAAACAGCACATACAGAGGTGCAACCAGGGAAGGATAGGAAATTGTACTCCTCTGAAATAATTTGCAAAGTTTGAATTTTTAATTATGATATTTGTTTTGGTTTGCTTTTTAATATAGATCATTACTTTTGGTGGTTTTTTTTCAATTTTTTTCCTAGCAATATATGATCTTAAGACAAGAAAAAATTAGAATTCGATATAACATATTATTTTAAATACATTAAATGGTTGAAAAAAAGAATAAAGTGTAGGTATTTTTGAAAGACATAGGTGTAAATATGTAGTGGGTTCAATATAAAGTCTCTCCTTATTAATAATAGTTTTGTTAATTCGCAAACAATTTTCATTATTATTGATGTCTGTATTAGAATTAGGGTGCCTAAGCCTCTAAATATTAAATATACGTTACAATATGGAATTTTTTTAATACCTTATTACTTGAACTATAATATAGTTTGTAATGCAAAAATCAATATGTTTAATAATTTTAAACAAGTTACCAACATATTAAAATGACAGATAAAAAGTGTTTTTTTTTAATTTAAGGCATTACGCCTTATATTACTTACATATTTGAAAAGTTCATATAATTGTCAAACACCGAATATATTCTCAAATGTAGAATTTTTTTTTAGTTTTAAAATAATTAAAAATAACTTATTTTAGAATCACCTAGAAATCAAATTTGTTTTACTTATTTAAGCTAAATACAAAAAAAAAAAAAAATACTTATTTAAATTTATGTTATTATTAAAATGGGGTTTTATTTTAAAATTTTGTTAATTTTTTAATACATTTTATAAAAGTTAATTATTTATTAGAATATTTAAATAAAGTTTATTTCGGATGATTTAAAATAAATAAATATAGCTAGATAAAAATAATTATTAAAGATTATTATTTTGATATTTTTTAAAATTTTAATTAAACTATATTTTGCTTCAGCTAATATTCAGTAATGTAATCTATAATATCAACATCACACAGCGATAATTGGTGTTATATCATGAGAGTAAAAGTGTTAATGTCAAGGTCGAGGTTAATCTGTGACGAATAGAGTAAAATATAAAAAAAAAAAAATGACAGGCAGCACCTCTAATTATGTTAATAGACATAATACTAAAAAAAAAAAACGCAAGTAATATTATAGAAAGGGAAAAGCTGTCCACGTACTCTTTGATTATAATAAAATTATTGTGGCATTAGGTCGATGCAACTAATAATCAGCATTACAATTAATTAGTGATTTTTCAAATCGAGGATAAGGACTTTAGCCCCGAACCATGATCAACAAGGGTAATGTTATACGCGTACGCATAGAATGTCAATGTCCTTCGTTCCACGCTTGCGCTCCCATTGATGGTGAGAATTCATTCAAAAAAATAATAACATGGGCTTAGTAACCCCGGCAATGGATTTCTGTGCGAAATCTGCTCAGTCGTGAACACCTATTTTTAAATACAATAACCATGTGTCAATAATATCTGTATTGTTATCTTATTATTTAAACTTAATATCCATAATATTATGCACATTTTTGTTATTATTTTTCTATCTAAAACAATTGAATAACGATGGAAAATGTTTAATATTGTACCGAATATGGAGATTCGAGGACGAAATACCGACAATGGGTGAACGGACACTATGTAATTACATTAATACTATAGATAACGTGAACAATATTATTTTTCAATTCCGGATAAGTAACAATCGAAAGTTCAAGGACCGTTTTTACCGGAAACTTGCTCGGATTTCCATCTATTTGTCTTACATAATAGTGACTTGTTAAAGTGTCCATTGTTTGAAACATTGAATTCAGAAAAATAACTTGTGCCATTGTAATATATTTATTTTATTATTTTTAAATAGGTTGTAATAAATTATTTTAAATTAATAATAATAAATAAATTAGATATTAATAGACATTGAAAAAACTAACTTTGTTTTATTAAAAAACTGTTTTAAATTGATTACATTAAAGAATTAAATTTCAATAGAAATTTCTACAGTTCTAAATTTAAATTTAGTCATTATTAATTTGGTTTAGTCTTCAAGCTAAAAACTAAAAGATCTTAAAGATTGTAGCTAAAAGTATAACTCAAACCAAACATCAATGTTCGAATGTCAGTTATAAGATAGTAATTAATTAGTACTGAATTATTGATGAATAACAAGAACAAGCTAGTATTTAAAAAATAGTTGTATTTTTAAAGAAGAACTATTATTAGGGTTGTAGTTTCTTACCCGATTGGTTAAGTATGAATTTGTCGTTAATGAAAGGATCGTGTAAAAATTCTATTCAAAATCTTTTTGTGTGAAAAAAATTATTTCTATAATTATTTTTTTGTTGTCAATATCATATGTTTTAACTTAAATTAAATTAATGTTTTATTATATTTACAAATTTAAATCATCTAATATTTATATAATTTTAAAAAAGATCATAATTTGATCAATTACATCAACCTAATTTTATTAAAGATACCCCTTAATGTTTTAAACGTAGCATACAGTTACATAAATATAATTTATAATTCATTAATTAGAATATATTTAATAGACTAAATTAAATAGAATTTATTAATTCCGTTCATATTTTGATCTGATTTAGCAATGATCAAATATCAAAACCACATTGGCCGATTTATAAATGATTAAAACAGACGTAATTTCTTAAACGATCGTTACCTAAAACGGATCGTAATAACAAAAAGGATCAAGGACTAGGCCAATTTGTAGAATAAGGCAATCTCGTCGAACTTATAAAGGTAATATCTAATAATAATATACATTATTATTATCACTGCAGTGCGGGATTCGATTGTAATAATGCAATCTAGAAGTATATTATATCAGTTGTTTTTTGTGTGTCATATGTATAAGACCTATTGACCTGTAAACATTTCGTTGACTGTTAATTATTAGTTTTATATTAGATAAACCGTAGTGGCCTACCCTTTTATGTTGATAAAATGAAATTTCACGTATTCAGCTGTCATGTATTTACTACTTGAAATAATTCAATATGAAAATCAATTTTTATTTTTGGAACTATTATCAACTTTAAATTTGCTTTTTGTAATTGAATTCAAGTAGAAAATTTACAGATAAAATGTCTTACATACATTTTTACTATTACTAATACTATTTGTATGAATATGCGCCAATTATATTTGTTAAAGTGGTTATCGACATCACAAAGTTATGTTATATAATTCTTTGATGAAGTTCTAGTGCTCTAGGCAAATCTTCATCGGTGTACCAATAATAGAGTTTACTGGTGAAATGGATTATAATCCATTTATCAAATGACTAGACTACTTTAATTATAGATGTTGACACTGTTTTTTGTATGGTCTATAGTTGAACTAAAAATTTAAGCATTTATTATATTTATTGAATTTTCTAGAACTATTAGTAAACAATTTTTAATCAATAATAATAGATGGGTATTCATAAACGAGTTAGTACAGCATAAAAAATCATATCCAGGGCTGTGAATTATATAAGCATTTATAAGTTTTGTTTGAGCTACTTTGAAGAGTATTAAGTTTGTTAAACTCTGTCCCAAGATTATATAGTATCACAGAAATATTCTTTGTTTTAGGGAGATATAACCACACTAATTACCCCAAAACTATAACATTGGCAAAATTACGTCACTAAGTTTTCAATTTGGTTAGTAAAAATGTTTACTGGTTGATGGTGTGTTATGATGCATATTAGCTCTTAGCTATGTTCACTAATCTAGTGTAAGAGGCAACGGGAAACCATTGTAATCAACTTTTCCTTAGTATACACTAGTTCAGCTTACTATTGTTAAACCAAACTTCTTGTTGGCCAAAAAAGATTTTTAAGGCAACAAGTTAATTTCAATATTACAATTAGGAGCACAAATAAGAAAGACTAGAAATGTCGATACAGAAAAAGTTTTTCATCGGTTTCCATTTTATTTATTTATAAAATTTAGTATTTGAAACAAGAAAATTTTGTATTAATTTATTGTATAAAACTATAAAATTTTAAATGCTATTTACATAACACTTGACAAAATATTTAATACTCAAATATTTTGGGAATATTTCAATATCTTGAAAAAAATCTGCTTATGAAGTTGTTAGTATGGTTCATACTTAGTAAGAGTAAGTTTTTACTACATTATTAATATATATTTTTTTGATAACTTTTTCTTAAAAGGTTATATGCAATTTATGTATTGCACAGCTAATTGTAATTTTGTTAGACTGTACATTTGCACAATTGAAAAGCAAAGATTTTGGGCGGTGCGAACTCCCTATTCTTTCTTTAGTTTCTAAATTGTCAAGACCAATACGTCACTAGAGGGATTGTTCTTTTGATTACCGCATAGGTGGTTCGCCCTCAAGAGGGGAGCAATAGAGTCTACCCAAATAATATATAAAGTAGATCGTTGTCAATCAACATTATTCAGTCATCGTTTGGTTTAAACACTCTTAACAACCAAAACTTATTTATTTATTTATTTGAAATGGCTTTCAAAGTAAGTACTGAAAAATTAAAACATCAAATGTACTTGTATATTATTTTTTTTTTAACGAGAAATAGTTTTAAGTGTTAAAGTGGTCTAATATAATTAATGAAATCAATAACGCAAAACTAGTGGATTTTTCATAGTGTAACATAAGTGTTATGAATTATTTTATGAAACAAATAACTAAATTTATATACAGTGTTTTAACTATTATTAAAAAATTATCTGATTATAGTATATCTAATTAAGAATATTAATATTGTAATGAAAAAAAAAATACAAATTTTTATAATACATTTGACATTTATAATTAAAGTATTTTCATTTTTTTACGAGTGATAATATAAAGAAAACTTTGTTACGATCATTTTCTATTAAATTTGCAATAGAGTGAAATTCAATATAACTGATTAATGAATCATTTGTTTTTACTGAATTTTATTTTTAAACAATTGATAAAAATTAAATTAAAATATTTTGATTTCAGTTCGTCGCCATAATTGCCTGTGTATTGGGATCCGCACTTGCCGGCCCGTTGGCACCAGCCTACCCTGCACCGTCTGCCTACCCAACACCAGCTGCCTACCCAACACCTGCTGCCTATTCAACACCAACTGCCTACTCATCTCCATCTTACTCCGCCCCAGCTTACAAACCAGCATATTCTGCACCAAAATCCTACGCCCAAGAAGAATCTTACGCTCCAGCTCCATACAACTTCGAATATTCCGTCAACGACCAATACACTTATGATGTCAAAAGCCAACAAGAATACAGTGACGGAAACGGATACGTCAAGGGATCCTACAGTTTGGTCGAACCTGATGGCACCAAGAGAATCGTTGAATATACCGCCGACGACTACAATGGTTTCGTCGCTGAAGTGAAAAAGGAAGGAACACCATCATACAATTCCGCTCCAGCTTACAATTCTGCCCCAGCTTACAACAAACCAGTTGCCTACAAACCAGCATCGTACCCAGCCCCAGCTGCTTACCCAGCTCCAGCCGCTTACCCAACCCCAGCTGCCTACTCAGCACCAGCTGCCTACCCAACCCCAGCTGCCTACCCAGCACCAGCTTCCTATCCAGCTCCATCTTACTCATCCCCAACTTACAAGCCAGCATACAAGCCAGCTTACCCAGCTGCTCCAACTTACTCAACTGAAGCTTATCCCTCAGCTCCATCTTACAAACCATCTTATGCTGCCCCAGCATACAAACCGGCTTCATACAAACCACAATATTAAGTAAACTTAGTTTTAAAACAAAGTTATTAAATTATTCTATTTTATGTAAATAAAACACTATTTGTCATCCAATATTTTATATATTTTTTTAACTTATCCAAATTATTATTTAATGGGTTATATTTAATATATTGAATTTAGATATTTAATATATTTATACATTTATTGGAGTTTAATCTTAGAGTGTAGCACACTGCATGAAAAAAGTCAATACCATATTTAAGAAAGGATATTTGCTACTCTATAATAACTCTCAGCTCTCACTGAACCGATTTTAATAATTAATATGTCAAAAGAAACCAATTTTAATGTAGTTAGACTTATTAAATACATTTAAAATAATCCACAATTTTAATAAATTAAAAAAAAATATCTTTCAGTACTTTCAAAAATGGCATTAAAAAAAATATTTTCTGTATTTTAAAACTTTTTTTTTTAAACAGTGACGATTGTTAAATTTTGATATATCAGCAGTCAAAGAAAATAATAATATCAATTTTAAAAATGCTGATCATTACAAAATGTGCGTGCTCAAAAAATGACTTATGATAAAAAAAGCAACCACACTGCATGTCTATATTTTAAAATTTTAATAACTTCCTAACTACTGGTTCAAGAGTTGTTATTGACCACTCATATTCTTAATTAGAATATTTTCTATTTTATAAGCTAGTTTAATATGTATTTTTACATTTAAAAAATATAGATGTCACCCATATAAGATATAAGTGATGGTCATCAAAATTATTTTGTAACACATAAATAAAAATACATGTTATTGATAAAATTAAAAAAAATATATTTACAAATAAATTATAATTTTAAGAGAAATGAGTGTCTAGAGTTTCTTTATTAAATCAGTTTTTATGAGGTAGTAATACTCTCCGTTACACCTTAAATTGTTAGAGCCTGATGTTTCATTTGTATTAAATATAATACAATGAATAAAACAAAACCTAGCACAATGGAATCGCGGTTCAATTGGAATGCAGATTAGTTAAGACAAAATAAATGACATCTGACAGTAATTAACATTATTATCACGAAAAACGCTTTAATGCGAATTTATTAAATTATTTAATAAAATCAATAAAATAATTAAAATTTACTTCAAGATATACAAAATTTTGCTTTATTCAAGTTAATATTTATTTTACAATTTATAAGTTCTTAAATATATTTAAGGTTTATCCCACATCCCTTAAAAGGATATTTACTTTATTTTTTATAAAGTAAATACCCTTGTATTTTATATTGTTAAAAAAGATTATATTGAGAAAATGACTGTTGTATAATAATTTTTGAATCAGTTTTAGCTTCGATGCGACGCTATTGACGTTATAATACCGCTATGCGGTATTGGTTTTACTAAGATGTGTTTCTTTTATTTTATTTATTTTTTTTTTTTGTGTCTGTTACCACTTTTTCTCATCTTTTACCGAACCGATTTCTTTCAATGATACGTCAAAAGATAACAAATCGTATCTAGTCGAAGACATTACCCTCAAAGATTGAAAAAAAATCCTGCTGTGCTGTGTTTTTTAGAAGTTATGTACATTTTTATACGTGGATGGGAGATCGAGCGTGGCAGAGTGATGTGTAATGATAAAGATAACATAAATTGCAACTCCCCAGTATACATTTAAAAATGTTAATATCTTCTGAATTACTAGTTCAAAATTTGTTATCGACTAGTTATTTGTTTAGTTGGTTCATTTTCTATTACATGAATTAGTTAATATGTGTGTTGTAAATCAAAAGTAATAAAATTAGTATCCTTATAAAGAAAGGAATAGACCAAAACATAATTTAAAATTATACACTAATAAATAAATAATACTAAACAAAGTTATATAGTAAACATATAATGTCATCGATGTATAAATCACTCTGTATAACATTATACAGATGTATATTTAACAGATACATTGTTATATACTTCAATATAGTTATGATAGTAATGGCTATTAAATTTTTGTCATTTATTAATTATTAATTTTTTTATGGGGGCATAATTTTAAATCATACTGGGCACGCGTATTAGTAAATCAGGGCTAGAAAATAGTGCAATATAATGTAATAAACTATAATTATTTAGCTATGTATAATTTGTTATTGTTTAACATGAAAAATATTCTTATGTTACATTTTTATTATTTATAATAGAAATTATTATTAATTAATAGGTACATATGTTAATAAAATTTTCTTTTTCAATTTTATTGAGTATAATATACTTTCTATTATTCTACAGTACTAATTGCAACATTTCTCATTCACATACTAATTATTAAGACTTACAGCTATTATCAAAATGTTATGTCATTGAATTGTTATATCAAATATTTAAAACGGAAGTTACATTTTAAAATTTTATTTTTTATATTCCATATGAGTAATAGCCAAGATTTATTTATTTTGACTTCTAAATAATTATTATTTCATATTTTACGGTATTGTCACTTAATAATTTATAAAAATTATAGTGTACTATACTTTTATCCAAAAAATTCGATAAGATTAATTAATTTTGTCATGTTATTAAATTTTTATAAAAACAACTAATTAGCAAATTAATTTTTCTAAATTTGTGTTGCAATGAAACAATATTTAGTTCAATGCCATAATTTAATAAGTATCTATTAACTTTAATTTATAGGTATACTGGTTAATCAATTTTTATTTTTCTAATATATCTAATTTATTAATTTAAACTGTCAACTAATTTTATTAGTTACTTCATTTGTTGTTTTTACACATAAAAATGTATGAAGATATGAAATGCAAATATAATATCTCAAATAAAATTTGAGATATTATATAAAATGTCTTAAGTTTATTAACTTTATACTGTGAAACGAGAAATTTTCAATTAGTGACTGAATTAAGTGATTTCATTTTATAATATTTTAATCTAAGATCTATTTAGAATTGATTGCAAGTAACTTATACTGTGGAAATTTATTTTATGGTCATTTTTGCTAATACAAGTTATAATATCTTATTGTAATTCAAGGTTAATTATAAGTCGCACTAGCCATTTAAAGGTGACCAGAATGTATTTATAATTCATATCTAGAAAGACTTAAGTGAATTTAATTCATTAATAACTCCAGAATAAATTAAAAATATTATATGATTTGATTTACAATACTATAAACTGAGTTTTAACATTAAAACAATCTATATAATTCGAAATATTAATGTAGTAATATATAATACATACTTTGATATATAAAATTATACTAAAGAAAAACATGAATTGTTAGTATTATTTTATGTAACAGAGCCATCACAACAATTTTTCATAATAAATATTGTTTAGGTAACTTTTTGATGATTTAGTCTAAAAACAAAAAATAATTTTTTTTTGTTTATAATATTATATCTATTCATAACAATTTAATTAACTATAGAAAAGTGTAAAATAAATAAGTTTTTCATTTTATTTTAGCATGAAAAGATTTCACGACAGATACTATGGCATTTATCAATAATAAATTTTATTTTATGCAAAATAATTTTTTTATAAATCTTTATGAGATTAAAAGTTATCCATCTATCTGTAAATATATAATGAAAAATAAAAATTTTTAAGTGGTGTGAGTCAATTTTGTATTATTAAAAAATCGCCACTAGGCAATAATTACTATTGCCTAAATAGTATACTAAAATATAAAAAAATAACTTACATCACTTTTGCTTTCAATGGCTCATAACAAAAATTTCAATCAGCGACCTATTAATAATACTTAATATTATATTATTCATCAATATTTTTTTTATTACGTTTATTCTTAAATATAGAACATTGTTATTAAACCTATTTTTCGGTCTATAAATAATAATTCAGTCACCAAATTCCAACCATTTAAAAATGTGTGAAAATTTAATTTTTTGAAAGATTTTTATACAACACGTAATTTAGGAAATAATTATACTTTAGACTAGATATTATTTTTTGTACATATTTAAGAAAATCTATAAAATTAGAAGTTGATATTTTATGTACATTAATAACTGAAATTGTAAATATGATCAAACTGTTTAGGAGGAAAAGCAGAATTTTATTAAATTCAATCACTGACTTTGACTCCATCGACGTTCATTCTAAACTGCTATCTCTCAATGATTTTTATGCCATCACACATCCTTAAAAAATATAAGATTATAAAAAATATAAAATATCATATGTGTCTTCTTATCTATAACCTCGGGAATAATATCATTTACCGCAACTAGTTTTGGTGTGGTTTAATTTCATATTTTAACGGCAATAAAAAACAAATGTACAATAAATTATAAGACTGATATCAAAAGGACGTCGGCGGTATTTCAAACACCCAAAGACCAGTTTGTGGATCAAGTCCATTGTGCAAATAAGAAAAAGTGCACAGATATTATATGTATAATCATACTTAGCGTAGATGTAATATTTGTAACGCCTGATAGCCAGCTAATATTAATGTAGCAGTGGTGTCATTTCGGCAAAATTTTGCTCGAGGGACCCCCAAACGCGATAGGATCATGCAATCTATGTACGAGAGAGCGTGTAACTATGAGGTAGGTACGCCCTCGCCACGGTCATACGATAGACGACCTTCCCCTTAAGAGGGAGCAAATGCGACATTTCAAATCATATATAAAGCAGATCGTTGTCAATCAACATTATCAGTTATCGTTTGATTTTAATACAATTAACAACCAATACTTATTTATTTATTTATTCAAAATGGCTTTCAAAGTAAGTAATGTATAATATACACATTTTAAGTTAAATAAGTATGAGCTTAATTATTTTAAATTATGAATACATCTATATCAGTTTAAAGTGTTAATAATTATTAAAAGTTTAATTTGAACATTTTATTACAGTACGTGAATAAAAATAACTTATTTCATTTATTGAGTGATTAAAGTGATTATATTAAAGTGATACCTTAAAAATTATTTGAAAAATTTCGATTTAAAATTTTTATTTTATTTCAATGAAGTTATTCTTATAGTTTTTTAATTTTATACGTGATATTCAGGGAGATAGATTAATCAAGCCTAACATAATATCTTAAAATTATTAAAGATTTACTTTTCAGAAGGTCATAGTATTTCATGTTCTATAATGTGCAGAAAATAATAAAATTAATACTATCCTTTCACTCTACCTTCTAAAATAATATCAATTTGAATTTTCCAAATGGAAAAATTTACGTTTAACTATATTAAAAATAAAGAAATGGTCAATCGTTAATAACTTTTGAAATGGTATTTTAGAAGTTATTAAAACTTTACTATAATATTAGGACGTGAGTACGGGTCTGTTTATTTTTATCTCTAAGCATTTGTGAACCGTACTGCTTTTACTGCTATAGTATAAAAGTGCTGATATCTTTTAAAATACTGATTCAAAAGTTGTTACTGACTAACACATCATATTCTTAGTTATAAAATTTTCTAATTTTTAAATTAGAAAAAACATACGGATATGCTTTTATTAAAAAAACTAACAATAGTACAATTTTAAAGAAAAGAGAGAAAAAGGAAATTTTTATTGAAAATTATTCAACATAGAAAATTATTGACTTTTAAGCGAATAAATTATACTATTTGGGTGTTCAGTAAGTAAGGTAAAGGGTTTCTATTGTTCTAATTGTTTATAACCATTGACCTGTTTCCTTACTTACTGAACACTCTGTATAATATACTTCAAAGATATTTGTTAAGTATAGTTAATCACCTTGATTATAATTGTGTTTTATTCTTTAATTTCATAACCTTGCGTTCAAGTCTACATTATAATATATTATAGAAGTATGATTAAGCATTAATAATATGTTTTATTTCAGTTCGTTGCCATCATCGCTTGTGTGTTGGGGTCCGCACTTGCCGGCCCGTTGGCACCAGCCTACCCTGCACCGTCTGCCTACCCAACACCAGCTGCCTACTCATCTCCATCTTACTCCGCCCCAGCTTACAAACCAGCATATTCTGCACCAAAATCCTACGCCCAAGAAGAATCTTACGCTCCAGCCCCATACAACTTCGAATACTCCGTCAACGACCAATACACCTATGATGTCAAAAGCCAACAAGAATACAGTGACGGAAACGGATACGTCAAGGGATCCTACAGTTTGGTCGAACCTGATGGCACCAAGAGAATCGTTGAATACACCGCCGACGACTACAACGGTTTCAACGCTGAAGTGAAAAAGGAAGGAACCCCATCATACAATTCCGCTCCAGCTTACAATTCCGCCCCAGCTTACAACAAACCAGCTGCCTACAAACCAGCATCGTACCCAGCCCCAGCCGCTTACCCAACCCCAGCTGCCTACCCAGCACCATCTGCCTACCCAACCCCAGCTGCCTATCCAGCACCAGCTGCCTACCCAGCACCAGCTTCCTACCCAGCTCCATCTTACAAGCCAGCATACAAGCCAGCCTACTCCGCTCCATCTTACTCTGCCCCAGCTTACAAACCAGCATACAAACCAGCTTACTCCGCTCCAGCTTATCCAGCTGCTCCAGCTTATCCAACTGAAGCTTATCCATCNTCAGCACCATCTGCCTACCCAGCACCATCTGCCTACCCAACTCCAGCTACCTATCCAGCACCAGCTGCCTACCCAGCTCCATCTTACAAGCCAGCATACAAGCCAGCCTACTCCGCTCCATCTTACCCTGCCCCTGCTTACAAACCAGCATACAAACCAGCTTACTCCGCTCCAGCTTATCCAGCTGCTCCAGCTTATCCAACTGAAGCTTATCCATCAGGCCCAGCTTACGGATACTCCACTCCAGCTCCATATAAACAATATTAAGTAAATTAAATTGTAGATCAAACTTATTAAATTATTGTATTTTATGTAAATAAAATTTTTATTTGACACATTTTGCTTCTATTTTTTATAATATATGTACCTATAACACTTGTAGTAATTTTACAGATTTACTGTATTCTCAAAATTTGCACTAATTTAATTACCAAGACTATGAATGTATTTTGCAGATTGATANTTAATTACCAAGACTGTGAATGTATTTTGCAGATTGATAAAACAAAAAATGTTTAAAATATTGCTTTCAATATAAAATGAATTATCGTTAAAATTAGGATTTATTAAATTAAGAATTTCAGACATGAAATTCATTCAAAAGACATTTAGAATATGAAAATTGTTCATATATATTCTTTCAATTATTTCAAATTAATTTAATAAAATTATTATGATTTATCTTATTTAATTTAACCTTAAAATCTCGTTTTCCATTTATTGAGCTGTTTTGAGTATATTGACTTTNTTAATTTAACCTTAAAATCTCGTTTTCCATTTATTGAGCTGTTTTGAGTATATTGATTTTAAAATTAGAAAATTAGATGTAGGGTAAAATATACTACTTATATTTAAAAAATATAGTTAATGAATTTAATATAAAAATATTTTAAAATGCATTTGCTAAATTATCCATCATAATAAGAGAATACATATAGGGCAATTCCACGTGTTCTGATTACTTTAATAACTTTTCATTCAGTTCATATTTTTCATTACTTATTTTTTTTAAATAATTTTTATGTATTAAAACTATTAAAATTTAAAAATATATAATTTTTATTAATTTTACTAAAAATGTAAAAATAAATTTCAAATTTTTATGGATATGTATGAAAAGTAGTGGTAGGTATAGAAGATATGTCAATGGCCCATTTAAAATAGTTATATTGCTACAATTCTGGAGAAGAATAAAAATTTAAATTTGTTTTTCTTATTATTTGAATAATTTTTTAAAGTTATACAACATACAATATTAAATAAATGTATTTTATATTTAAAGGTGTAATGTAAGGCGTTTAAATAGGCGACTCTTATACAATAACTCTTATGCAAAAAAAAAAAACAATATTTTTTTAGCGAAAACAGCTTTTTTATAGAATATTGATTAGTACTTTATTTTTTTTTTTCATTATAATGTATTTATTTTATCTATTTGTTAATTATTAACTGTAAAATATGAAATATATTTATTTTTTAATTTTTGAGAACGATGATATCCTCCATTTTTTTTGTTAAATAATGATTTTTTCATGAAAATTAACAAACTAATAGTTGATTTATTTTTATAAATTATAATAAATATTAAATTAATTTTAAGAAAAAAGTTTTTATAAGGTTAGATTTTAGGGGTAAATTTTAAAAATTACCCTTAAAAATATTTCTCTTACATTAAATTTGATATTTATTATAATTTTATAAAAATAAATGAAGTTTTATTTTGTACAATTTTATAATAAAAAATCTTTTTTTAACAAAAAATTGGAGTATATCATTTAAAAAAAAACTCACAGTACGTATATTTTTTGAATATCATTGAATATACATGACAATCATGAAAAGAAGCCACTTGTTGGTAATACATTCGGGAAATAATGGTAATTACGTTATTAAGTCGCACACTATTAAAAAAAAGTCCTAAATTTTGTTGCTGTCAAAAAATGATGCATGACTATTTGCACAGTAGCCACAGAAACAAATGAACACAAAATCTATTGTTGAATTTAAATATCATACTGATAGTGAATCGAAAAAATACATATCATTTCATGATTATTTTTTTTACAACGTGCTTTTTTTATCTTGTCTAACTTGTAAGGTGATCTTTTAAATTGTATAATAATAATCAAAGTAATATAATATCTAACTAATTTATGGTTTATGCCAAATAAGAATAAAATAATCGATTTTTCATTCTTTAACACGGTCATAAATAAAGCAATATCAAAAACAAAATACAAGACTGCTATTAGATTCTGCAGCTTTGGGCATTGCGTTTGGTTAAAATCCATATTAGTTATTGATAATTTATGTTTCGAAAATCTTCTATGAGATTCAAATAAAGCTAATGGCTGGATTTCATTTCAATAGTTGCCAAAATAATCTTGTCCTAAGCAGTTGAGATTGACCTAATAGTCTCTACTATTACTACTAATGATTAATGACTATGATTTCGCCGGTGAATGATTATTGTGTATCAGTGAGGTAATACAATTTCACTGCTATATGATCGCCGGTACTCCGCATCTAAATAATACAAACTGGTGCTACACTTCTATTTCCCAAATAGATATACATGCACTTTTACTATTTTGCTTGTCTTCGAATAATAATTGATGTACGATCTGCAATGAAAAGTCTTAAAATGTTCGCATCTTATGATAGGTACCTGATTCATTATATTTGTCCTTGTTCACGCTGTTACACAACTGAAATGATCTCTTGACCCCTCTTACACACTCGACTAGCCATTATAGCATATGCATATATGCTGCAGAAGTTCGATAAGACATATTGTACCGATCGTTTCTTAGGCGTTTATAATAATCGCGTGGACTTAATTAAAACACTATGTGTTTTATAATCTAGGCGAGTGCTCCGAGCCATCGAAGAAGGCCAATTTTTAGCCTACCGATTATTTTACGTTTTGACCTTTACCGAGTGAGATTGGATTTCCTTATCGGGACGCATCATCGGCGTTCCGATTATTTTGGATTCACAAATTCACTGAAGCCTATTCGTAAATTATTTAGTATAACATGTATTCACAACTACACATAGAATTGCATCATTTAATATTTTCCCTGACCTCTTCAATTTAACTCATGAAAAAATATGAAGTAGGACTGTGATCATTTTTAAATAATTTTATGAGCGTCTTAGTGAAGTTTTTGGCACTTCAAGCAAAATCATGCTATGCTAAGTACGTTTATTTTAAAGGTATATAACTTTTACTTTAAAGAGATTAAAATGTTAATTTATTTTTATTAACAAACTGTTTAAACTGTTTAGGTATTCTACGTATTTATTTAATCCAAAAAATATTGATGATATTTAGTTTTCAAAATATTACTTAGATATCTATCAAGGTAATCTTCGATTTTTTTGTGTAATCAATTAACCAATGAATATTTTGAAACGTCAAAGAACATCACGAATTATTATTTACATTTTCAATTCAAATACCCCAAAGAAAAATGTTTGGACATACTTAAACACGAGTACTATTTTAGTACTACTATATCATACTAGCTTCAAAATTTAAATTTAAACACAATGTTATTCAATAGTCAAGAATAATATTAATAGTTCTAAAACCGAATTTCTCAGTAGAAACTATCAAAAATGGTTAGAGTGTTTTAATTTGGACATTATTGACTGACTAATAAAATTTAACACTATTTTAAATATCAATTTTTTACAACTAAACATTCCAATTGAACTGTTACAAATATGTTATATAGAAAAAACAATCATTAGTAAATTTAAGTGTTTTATTAAAAATAAATTTATTACTCCAATATAAACACAATTATTTTGTACTTAAAATAATTTCAATAAATATTGTGTTTATAAATTTCTGTACTTAATATATTAATAAATATGAATAATATAACATGTGTTCAAAATATGTTCTAATATAGAGAAACTTTAGTATCTGGGCGTGCCATATTAAATGTAACTGTACAATAATATTATTCATTCTACTAGAATATGTAATACAATAATGATCTATTAAAATTATAACCAGGGTAGGTTCTTTTATGCTGTATGCTGACTGTTCTTACTTTCATTAATCGCTATTATGTAATGACAAATAAACTTTATTTTTAATGAAAAATAAAAAAATATGGATATATCATTTCATGATTTTGAAACTAAGGCTAGACAATTATTTGTTTCAAAATTTATTAATAAAAATTAGTTGAGCTTAGACAGTATAACAACTTATTTTTATCAGTAATCATTTTATTAAACATTTATTATGCAATTTTTATGTATGGTAAAATTATGAAACGATTTATGTATACTTAAATCGGAAATATTATACAACGTCTTTTAATTTATTCTAAGACAAATTTTCTACTTATTAACCTTTAAAACAATTTTAGTCACAAGTTTATTCTGTTTTAATTCATTACTCAAAACACACGTAGGATTAATAATTATTGCAGTTATCTAATTTTAGCAATTACAATAAGTTGTTACACGTTCATCATGGTACTTATAATTACTTTATTTATTTAAAAAATTTTTGTAAATGTAAACTTAATGAATATAATAATATTATATTTAATTCATCATTTGATGCATTTGATATTTCAAAGGTAACATTGAAATTTAAGGGCTATAATTATAATTAATTCTATATTATAAAAAGTAAATAAACTAGCTTTTATTAAAATATTAATGGAATGTTGCATTGGTACCAAAAATTTCAACAAGAATTTTACAAATTGCACCTTATTCAGTGTGCAATTTTTGTAATTATTGTTCTGAATGTCCAATTCAAATGTTTTATTTATCATTTTTTAATTTTTCCCTTTTAAATTTACTTTTGCTATTATAAAAAACATGTAAGTTGATAACAATTTTCGGAAAATGCCACATTTTTATATAGTTTATAATAATAGACTCAAAAATTTAGACCAGTTCTTTTAGAAAATTTTACTAAGATTTCTTAGTAGGATAATTGACCTGAACAGAAACATTAAACAATTTTTATCTTATAACTATCTTATACTGATTTTGATGATTGAAACCAAAAAAGTTCCTAAATTGTTTTTTAAAAGAAATGTAACTTTTTTTTATTATATGTATTACTTATCAAATATTGAAAAAAAAATTATTTCCCATGATTTGCTTTTATTCTTATCTTATTATATTTAAAATTTTTGATTGGGTTCTTATATTTTACTTAATAAATATGATAATTACGAACTGAGTGATCAAATTTAACTTATTTTGTAAGACCAACCTCATTGTAAAGATAAGAATAGAGTATATTATTAATATAATGGGTGTTCACGAAACTATTATCGAAAGTCTATGACTATTATATTACTGGTTTTAATAGAGTAACATTTGAATTTAATATATAATATCGATTTTATGTAATTGAAAAAATTACTAATGTAATTATAACTTTACAAAAGTTTTTTCTTTTAAAAGACAACTCAATTAAAAAACTGAGGAGACCAGAATATTCTTACAAACTTTTAAATTTCATTTCCAACCTTCAATGGTCTTATGCGTCAAAAAAACATGAAATTTTGGCGTGGGCCCTTAATTTAACTTATCATCTAAGACCTTCACCCCGTTATCGCATCATATTCGGACGATAGTGAGTACATAACTGTTAATTCAGTATACATCTTTAACGTGTAAATAGTCTGGGGGAACAATCGCTTGACTCTTGAAAATAAAAGAGAGAGAGAGAGATAGAGAGTAACATGATTCCCCTTGTCCCCGTGGGGAAACCTACCGACCCGATGACCCCCTTGGGTGCACGCCCTCATCTGTTTGCCCGATACAAGCGTGTGTTTGCCCACCACGTCCCGTTCCCTCCAGACCAGGGCACGTCTTGCAACTATTCACCGTCAAACGGTATATATACCTCAGTAGACCATTACCTTAATCACAGTCAACAACAATCAGTCTTCCGATTCGTAGGACAACACGAGAATAAAACATTCAACATGTCTGCTAAAGTAAGTTTTATTATTTTTTCAATAACAGCTAATATAATAATCTTAAATAGTTCATGTTGAAATTTTTTCATAAATAATAAAATAAAAGAGAGTGGTCGTAAATTTTGGCTTGTATTTATTATTTTATTATAAATGTCTTTTGTGTGAGTAGAGTAATTACTTTGTAAGAGAATAGTTTTCAAATAGTTTTATCGAATTACTTAAATTGAAGACCCTGTTTAATTAATACAGACATTATTTAGTGCGAAGTAATTGTGAACGTTTAATCTAGTTTAAATATTTCAAAATAAAATATAGTGTTACTGATTTATCTGCTTAGTTACTTAACTCGCGTAATAGCCATGCAACTAAAGTACAAAACCACCGTTGTTGGGTGCTGTAGACCGGTTTCAAGATTTACTTTTACTCGGATGGACGTAGTCGTGACCAATTTGAACCCGATCGAAGGCCGCTGATCAGATTCACATATACCGTTATCGTTTCATAATTTATTCGATTTCTATTTCTCTATTTAGTTTATAAGTTTTTACTTTTCTTTTTTGACGAATTTTTTAACATTATCATTTTTTCAGTTGATCATCTTCGCTTGCGCAGTTGCCACAACTTTGGCCATATACAAAGAGCCATCCTACCCGTCTTACCCAGCGCCAGCTTATCCATCAGCTCCAGCATATCCAGCTCACTCTGCTTACCCAGCACCAGCTGCCTACCCAGCCCATTCTGCTTACCCAGCACCAGCTGCTTACCCAGCCCCATCTTACCCAGCACCACATGCTTACCCAGCACCAGCCTACAAACCATCGTACTCTGCACCAAAACCATACGCCGCTGAACCAGCATACCCGTCACCCTACAACTTCGACTATGCCGTCCACGACACCTACACCGGTGACATCAAGAGCCAAAACGAATACGCCGATGCCAACGGTAATGTCAAGGGATCTTACAGCCTTGTCGAACCTGATGGCAGCAAACGTACCGTAGAATACACTGCTGATGACTATGGTTTCAACGCTGAAGTCAAGAAAGAAGGTGGATACCCATCCCCAGCTTACTCTGCACCATCTTACGCTGCCCCAGCTTACAAACCAGCCCCAGCTCCATACAAGCCAGCTTATTAATTCATTTAAAATGACCACACGTTGTATCTCAGTCAAAAATCAACAACATAGCCATAGCGATCAATCGCATTAAAGACTGTTCGAGTCTTAGCTACACTAGAAATTATATCATAATTTTATATTATATATTATTATTTTAATTGTCATCGATTGTATCACTTTTGTACATAAATGTCATAAATACATGTCATCAACATAAAAATGACTATGCGTTCTCTTATTCTTTATAATCTTATGTATGTAACTTATATGGTTAGTGCGCATATATATGAGTGAGCTTTGTTCAATAACTTACACCGAATATGGTCTTAAGATAACAAACTACAATGAGTAGAAAGTATCTTTGTATGAGATAAATTGACAATTCAGTAATAAAAATATACTTCATTGCCAGTGTTAAATTAATATAATTATTCTACAATTGCAAACTTGTAAGTTTCATACTGTAAAGACTACTTATTAATTTAATTTTTATCAAATTTATTGTGTAACTCTTTATAAAAGAGTTGAATTTGTTAAATAATTTTTGCGAAAGAAATAAAAATGTAAATCGTGTACTCAGTATATTATTATTAATAAGCAAATATCATCGTTAAGAAATTGATTCAACATATAAAGAAACAAAACGTCATAATTTGCGTATTATCAAATATCACGCCTAGTACTTGGAACTCAACAATCAAATTTAATATTTATTCATTAGATACTGATATACTTAAAAATGTATTTTATCAGTTTTTCAATTAGTTTTATTTAATACGAAAACACGAGGAAAATTACAAAAATCATGTCTAATTTTTGTTACATTTATTTACACATCATTTAATCAGAGTTTAGTAATGAAAATTACTATATTATAATATTTTAAAATGGATTATAACGCTTAATAATGTTTGAAAAATATATAAAGTATTCATTTCAAATTCTAAAAACGAAATAATGAAATAGTGTTGGCATCTCATTGTACTTGTAAATATATTTTTATAGTTCTTCTTGGAAATGCTCTAACTAAAGTAAAATTCAACAAAGTTTCTGAAAACTTTCCACATAATAACTATTACTACCTACTTACTATCAATATCAAATGCACGTCGCTTGTTACATTTGTTTTAGTTCTTCTGTGTGAACTAATTCTTTAGTGTTATTAAAGCTTTAGAATAGAGTGTAAATGTTTGAACGCCTTCAATGACTAGTAGTTTTAAGTTGAAATTTAATCATTACTTTTATAATTTCACATTGTATCAATAAAAAAAGTTAATGTGTCTTTTTATACGATATAACAAATACACGTAAACAAATAAGTAAATAAGTAAAAAAAAATTAAAAATAAATATTAATTTTTTTTCATACCAATAAATTTATGTTGAATTAAAAATACAATATATTAGAATAGACTTATAGCAGAATTGAAAATAGTTATATTCATAATACACATATTATATTAAAATAAATTGCGTTATAGTGAAAATTTAAAAATATTGTATTTATTGTATTTAAGTAGATATAAGAGAACATAAAATTAATTTTTATAAAATTTGCCATTTAAGTTTTATTTTTAAATTCAGTCAATTTCTTGGTGATATAAACGTACTAACACTCGAATAATAATTTTTGGTCCTAATTTTAATTATTTAGTATTAAAGAATTATTTAAAATTTTACCATACGAATATAATTATCAACATCTCCTTTAATTTTGTCCCAACTATTCGAAGTCGGCTTCACCTTACGATTTGATAGGATTTTTACATTGACTGTTGAATTGACGTAACCTCATTATATCGGAGGGTAATATTTTTAAAAATATATAACAATTAAAAAAGTATGGTTAAATTTCTGCCATTGTTGATATAATTTACATCACAAAGTTTGACTCAATTTCGGTTTCATTATGAGTTTCAATTTAATAAGAAAAATTTAAGTGTAACGATTTCATTTTGCTTTCTCTATCAAGGACACACCAACTACGGTTAACATGGCTTAGCACATGAGCTTTTCAGAAACTACTATGTCTAATATGCCACATACTCAATAAAATACTTGATAATTGATTTACATAATTAGAATTTCTTTCCTACGCATTCTTGTTAAAAATGAATGTTTGTGGATTATAAACTCACTGTTGACTTAGGTGACCGAGTTGTATAATCCGCCGGAAACCATTAATGATCTCGATACATAAGTAATCATTTTATGCTGATGAAATACAGATAATATAAATATTCAAGCGACACAAGTTTAGAATTGAGTTACACTAACAAATATAAATGTATAATAAGTGACTAACAAATTCATAGACTCATTTAACGGTCATTAATTAATATTTTATTAAATAATTATAATATATCAATAAAAAAAAATTAACAGTTATTTTGTAATTTATTTAGAAATACATGCAGTTATGTCTTGTATTTATATGATAAATAACTTGTGTGTAAAGACGCGAGAAAGAGGAGGGCTATAGAGGTATCAGAATTATTCAATTGAAAAAAAAATGTTTTTAATTGAATAAATCTGATGATATAAAAAAAATGGTAGTTGCCATTTGAAAGTCAAAAATTAATATAAGGTTAGAGTATATGGAATGATAGTAGGAAATTAATTTTTCATTTAAAACAGCTTAACAGAGATCCATTATTGTTAAAAAGTAAAATAATAATTAGCTCTAAATTTTGAAGATGTTTCCGTGAGGTGTATTGAAGAAATTATACTGAATATAAAAATATTTTTTAAAGTAGGGGAAAATATACTTAATGTCTCTCCAAAAAAAGTTTTATTTTAATTGTACTTATGATTATGTGCAATAAAGGCGCCTCTTGTCACTAGAAAAAAAAACAATATTCATTTTATTAATACTCACTTTTCCAGTAAACAGAACCACTAGTATTCTTGATTCGAATCTAAAAGTAGTATTATCTTATAGATTTTTGTTTTAAATAAAAATAATAATTACTGATAAGATTATTGTTTATTGAGTAAAAATTTATATTATGTTTATAACGTTGTGATAATATAATGTCATTGAGGTCGATGAATTCCGATTTGATATGACTAATTAGATATTTATCCAGTAATAAAAATGACGATGATAATTTCATTGTACTGCTTGACTTATTTCAATATAATAAAATAGTTTTTTCGTTTATATTTAAAAATAAACTTATTTTTTGTCTGTATTTTTGGCTTTATTTAATTAGGACATTGAATAAGTACCAAACTATTAAAAATAAAATTATAAATGTTAACAAAAAACAGTTTCAAATTACAATTCAGTTTTGAAGAAAACTACATTATTATGTGAATAATATGAGTTATTTAAAACTTAAATATATGTACGTTAATCATGTTGAAAAACGTTACCTTCATTTAGAGGAATTAAACCTCACAATATCTAAGTTGATAATATCTTTATTTTCCAGAGAACATCCACTTTATAATTATATATCATAATGGAAGTTAATCATATTCTTTTCATAATCTAATATTCGATAAAATTAATTATCAACAATTTTCTACGAGCGGCAAATAATATAGGCAATTTTACTACTCATGCGTAATATGCATGTCTAAATTATGCCTCATTAAGAATGTAGTAAAGTAACAACGTTCGATGACAATTGTGAATTAAGTTCAAAAAAATATAATTAATTAGCTCTAACGACATTTATTAACATGAGAACAAAAATTGTTTAGGAAACTCCCTTATGTTTATCAAGTGTATGAAAGAATAATAGTGCGTGTGTATAACACAACAAAACAAAGATTACAATTTTGAATTGGGATAATTTTACAATGATTTTAAAACTTTTTCCCGCGCGTGTTAATAACAAACAAAGAGTTTTAATTCCATAGGCAACTTAATGGACTGGAACATCTGCTTTGGACATTATGTAATAAAATATTTGGCACTTTGCTTCTCACTTTAAAGTTTTAAGTCGCATGGTAGAGGTATTTTTCTTATATAGGAGTTATAATTTTTCAAGAAAACTTTTCTTGAATCAGTAAAAACTAATATTAAAACAATTCACATTTTAATTGGTCCATACATTTTTTAAATGTATTTGTTTAAAATACATTAGTGTTTATTGTTTTTTTAGAAAATAATATTATTATTTTAATGAAATTACAATAATTGTATTATGCCGGAGCCCAGATTTTTAGTTCGATCCGGTTTTCATTACAAATATTCGATATAGTTTATTCAATTATGTAAATTAGAATATTATTTATTCTTTTTTTTTTTTATATAAATATGTGTGTCAAAGTAAATTTTAAAGATTTTTTTGCAGTGACTTTTTTAAAATACTTCAGGGAATACATTTTTAACAATACTTTTGCATAGGTCAGGCATTATGTTAAATTACTATGAAAATAAACTTGAAGATTGTACACAGTTGTAACTTGAAAGCTTTAATTATTTAACACGTTTAGTTACATTCACCCAATGAATAACAATAAGAATTCCAGTCTAAAACTACATTATTTATGAATTGTATTTGCATGCAAAATACTTACCGTTAATCGTGAACACTACAATGATCATATTATATTTGTATCACTTTAATAGCTATTTCCTGAAACCATATAATAATAAATTGTTAAGTAAGTGGAAATTTGCTTTTGAAAAATTCAGTACATTTCTTTGTATATACTATTAATATAAGTTGGTATTAATTATATAGCATAATATGTTATCCTAAATTTGAAAAATACGACTTGTTCATTATTTCAAAAAAATAAGTACACTAAGTTGAAACTATAACAGAACATTTTAGAATATTTCAAATTGTATTTATAGGCATAATTAGTGAGGAATACAACCCCTTAAAAATTTCAACTGTGACAATTTTAGAACTATAATACCTCCCGGAAAACTAAAAGTATTTAAGAAAATGTATTTATTAATTTTATTCATAATTTTATAAGTAAAAAAATCGTAAATGTGGCGCTAACAAGCGTTAAAACCGGTTCAATATCATTCTTAGTTTATAAAGCCAAGAGATAGCGTTATTGCCTCGAAATTAATTATCTCAATATAGTATTTTAGTTCTGTTATTTATTAACAAATTAGAAGTTACATAAAATACCCTTATTTTACAACAGATTATATAAATTAGGAAAAATTTTTTATCCATGCCACTATTCTGTTTTAGATTGATTGGGGTTAATTTCATTTTTTGTATTCAGAAGTTAATTTTCATCATTATAATTATATCGAAGAGATAAACGAAAAATAATAAATATTTATTTTTAAATTTGATATATTTAATTTATAATAACAATAATTTTAACGTAAAAATTCATTTAGAAATCACAAAATGTTTTTACGATTAGTACAATTATTGTTTGCGCCGAAATATATACAGACCTGTTTTACACTTCACTGAACAATTGCATTAAAAATATAATTTTTGGATCAATAATGAGCTTATGGATAGCCAAGTGTTATGAATGTATTGCAAAAAAATTACATTGACTAAACAAATTCGTAAGAGTTGTAAATATTTGGTATAGCCAAAAATAAAATGATATAATATCAATGAAACTAATATTTGATATTAATAGTTAATATTAACTTGAGTAAAATTTAGCTAATATGTTTCAATTAATTTTATTACCCAAGTAACCATTCCACAGTTACCTTAATTCATCATTATAATGTTAAAATTAAAGTAGACGGTTCCTATTACTTGGAGTAAAATACTAACCACCTATGAAATGTAAAATGTTCAGTAAGTGTTGTTGTTTAATAATTTTCAAAAGTATTACATGCATGTAAATCATGTTCAATTAATGTATCAGTAAGTAACTTGGCAAGTTGTGTCTCATAGCGGATGTATATGAAACGCTGTTTAGCACTGGTCGTAGCGAGTTTCATAAGGACGTGTTATGGTAAGGGTAAATGAGGAGAAGGGACGTGGTAAATAGACGTATTTAACACGTTATATAATTGTTACAATAGCGTAGGGGCAGTAACCGAAGTGATTGAAGCGTTAGTACCTATTATTACTGTATTATTAAAACAAGATCACCCATATTTACATTATAATGACGTGTTATGAAATAATCGTATGCATAATAAAAATGATAATATTATTAACATATTTTCATAGTGCGGTTCAGTGAAAGTCAAGCTTAGGAGCCACAAGTAATCAAAGACGCCGCCGATACACTACTACACACCATGCTAAAGTCCATACTCGGATGTCAATCAACGTGTACATTTTCTGTTGGTTTTTGTTAAAATTGGTTTATTTATACTTGTATTTATTTTGTTAAAATAAACTTAACTTGTTGGTGTTGATTTAACCAACGAGCTTATTAAATAATCGTATTAGACAAAGAAAGTAAGTGTGACAATTATACTATTGAATCGATTCTATCGATAAAGATTAATAAATAAAACGATGGTCTGACTATTGTGTGTTACATAAATGAAGATAATAATAGCTTATGTAACCTACCCATAAGTATGACAACTTAATTACCTAGATAATTATCTAAAAACAATAAAAATAGATTTTGTTACATATTAATGATATTCAAATAAAACGTTTTTTTTTAAATAATCCTCAAAAACTAATAACGTCACGACTTGCTAATATTTGTGGAGGAAGAACAATACAAAATTTGAATTGTGATATTTGTGGGATGATCTGCATTATTATCCTACATTGTTATCCTTTAAAGTTTAAAAAGGTCATACAACCAAAGAAGGATAACAAGGTGTGAAGATGTTAGAAATAACAGATCTAACTTTTAATGGTCATCTTATGAACAACAACTGCTGTTATCACTTTGGCAGATAAATTTATGAATGGAAACTATCTTTAATAATTAGAACAACTCCGAGCATTTATAATATAATTTTGATTTTTTTTTGTCAATTGTGAAAATATATTATAGTGTTATTTGAAAGCATGTACAAATGATTTGCAGTTAAAATGTTAACTCAAATAATATCGAGCGTTTTTTTCATTATAAAAATGGTAACAAGACCAATCGAATCCGAGACCAGAAATCTGGCATGCAAAGCCAATAGCATAGGCTTCCACATTCCCCAATTTACCAATGAAAACCTTGGACTGGTCGTGTTCGAGGAAAACATGTATCTGTAGCGCTTATTGTGTCTAGGGTTACCCTATCGCCACAGGATTGCTGGAACCTCAACCGATTCAACCAGAATCTTGAAAGAGGAATATGAAGACCTCAGCTTTAGGTGTAAACTCCAACAGATACCAAGTTTACCCGCGACCACCCTTGTGTACATTAAACATATTTTTATAAATGCGTTGATTAAATAATAGCTACAATCGTTAATTTTGACATTTTAATGCAATCAATGACAGTTAATTTCTGGAAGGTTTTTATTGAGAATAAAATAATTAATAAATGTGTGATAGGTAGACAATAACAATTGGGCGAAATATTAATATACAGAATGCGTTCAGATCTAATTGATAACTATTATAAATTTTAATCCAAATATCATTTAATTTTAATATTTTTTAAACAATTTTTGTATTCTTAGACTCCATTAAAACAATATTTTTTTATTATTTGTCTCTAAATAAAAAATGGAATGTTTAACGTTTTTTTTAAAATGTCAAAATATTTGTTTTTGGAAATTTTTTAATAAAACATTTTGATGATTTGATAAGAGTTTTATAACAAGTATTTTATTGCGTAGAGTGAGTATAGATTAAATAAATTTAACTCATTGAGTGGCTATGTATTGCAGGCGAAATGTATATTATGAATATACATAAAACAGTAATGTCTGCACCCACCCGCACTATATACCTGAAAGGTCATTTTTATGTTTTTGATTAATCATTACTTTATACATGGAAATTGACGAAGAAAATTAATTTAATAGAGAAAATTAATGTAAACTGCTTAATAATATAAAATAAAGTTATCAAATATCTAACCACATTAATATTTGGCAATTTGCCCAAATTTAGATGATTTATGAAGTTCTATTAAATAAATAAAATTTATTGATCACATTTCATACAAAATTTATTAGACTTTAGAATACGGAGTCAAAAATTGTTTTAATGTTAAAAATATTTATTTCAAATGAGATACTATTGGCCTAATGCATAGTAATTGAATATAAATATAATTTATAGATTATAAGGAATTATTATTTTTAAAACTTTAATTAATAAAAACTCATTTAAAAACATTAACTAAAAATATTCGCCAGAAAAAATATATAAACGTCTTTTCTTATAAATTACACTAATGATACTTAATTACATTAAATGTAATTAAGTATTATTAGTATAATTTATACATTATGTAATGTTCAAAAAACTTTTGGATCACGATCTAAATCCTAAACATACAATAAGCAATTATCGCGTTGACAGGAATCCTTGAAAAATTATTATTATTATTAATACAATTTTTTTATATGCAATAATTCACACTATAGTTCTTATGAGTGTTACAATACATAAATATATTATAAATATGTTTATATTACAAAAATTTGATCGGTCAAAACAATCGCTGACCTGACTGATCTCAAAAAAGACACGGTGTGAACCTTGAGTAAAATACATGATAGAAAATGACTTAGTATTCAAAACTTGCAAAATTATCCGGAAGGCAATACTGTTGCAAAACTTGTGCTCCTGTGTCTTAACAGCTTAACAGATATTTTTGAATTTAGACGTTTTCTTTGAAAGTCATGGGTAAACTATCATTCAAATGTAACTTTAGTTGGAAAATTTAAAAAGAGATCTGTCACTTTAGACATTTCAATTCTGTTTGAACTTTGTTCTAAAAAGAACATTTCGTAGTAAGTTGTCTTTTAGAATAACTAATATATTACTAGAAAAATGATAAATATTTTCACTTTAAACTTAAATAAAAAAAAAAATAAAAAAGTAAATATAAATTATACGTATTTGAAATAAAAGTTTCAATATTATAAATCGTCCAAATATACTGTGTTTTGTAAAATGCTCTTTCTTGTTAACCTGATTATAGTTGTCTTAAAAATCATCTGCAATTTCCCGTGTTGAAAATTTATCAATGTATTCGTGTCATTTATATAGGCCTTACAAAATAAGTAGAGACCATAACATAACTGATCGCTCTTTTTAATAGTCGCTTAATCAACTTACTAATAGAAATGAATGATTTTTTTGCTAGATAGTAATTGTATATGTGACATTTAGATGTATTGGACTCAAATTGAGACAAAATGCGATCAGGATTTTTAAGTCATATACTGTTTAAAGTAATAATTTGCCAATATGGGGCTAAATCTCTTTACCCTTCTCTGGCAACGCCACACAATTTAATACTCTTCTATTTTCCAATGTCAAACTTGCGCTTTCATAATATAAACGATACACATTAAACTGAACGCCTTCTTAAACAAGTGGGCCTATATAAATTTGATTAATAATGATTTTTTTTAATGAGACCTTCTAACATGATATTATAAACTCTTTTATTGTAAACATGTTGTTAAAGGCCGTCAAATTTATGTCTCCGTGATAAATATTAAAGTATTTAATCATGATACTGTTACGATACCGAAACTGGTACGTGAATTCTGTGATTACCGTTTTAAACGGGGCCAAAGATGTTGATATCTTTTGAAAAATTATAGAGCCGGGTTAGTTATTTGTTGTTGTTGTTTTGGGCCACTATTATAAAAGTAATTAATATGAAGTAATATAATTAATATTTATCGGTACACCAGTTTGTAAATTGTATTATAATTTGACGACGAGGAAGGACCTATCGGCCGATTCTTAGCCCCAGGATATAGTTATGCGTGTTACCTACTTCATAATAAACATAATATTTTGAAAAATGTGAACATACGGCACAAGGATATAATTATTAGTGTCCATCTTTAAGGTGACCACAATATGGCATAAGTAGGGCTGATCTACGTCTATCATGTTTATGATATAAATTAATTGCTTCCATCGTATTTGATACCATTATTATCTTACAGTTCAATCTGTGATCATTAAATTATTTTTTTAATTATTTATTTATTTATTTTACTCCGAAGATGGCAGCTAAAGTAAGTAAATTTTAATTTTTATGTTCAGTTACATGTTTACGGGGTTTGTGTCTAATATTGGATACGTCAATGTCAGCTATAATGGCTGTGTATTATGTTTATGCATAAATCAAATAAAACGATCTTAAAAAATATCTACGGTTTCCCATTATTCGAAGCAAATATCTGTGTAATCTAATAGAACACTTCAAAGTAGATGACTGGCAAATGTATTTCATTTATCGTTCCGCCGGACGTGATGAGCTTTGTATTTAACCGCATAGATAATAGTTACAAATGTTTCGAATGACCCGATTTTTGGTGTTTTATTTTTGGCAATACATTTTACCTTAAGTACACATCAGTACAGTTTTTGTTTCTTAAGTAACATAATTGATTTACACAATGTCCATGGACGATTCGAATATATTAGCAACAAACGTGGCTTACAACATATACTAACCAAATCCTTCAAAGTATAAATCATTTTTTGAGAAATATAATTCTAATGTAACGAATCTAAAGTTTACAATAAAATAAACGAAAATTCTAGCGATGATATAATGTATGTTACTTTCTTAATATGTCTCATAAATATAAAAAATATTTATTTTACGTTATTTATTTATGATTTGAATGATTAGGAATAATCTAATTTAATATATTTATTCCTGAAAAAATTAATTTTAGTCAAAAATATACTATTGAAAATCTATTTACTTTTTGAACTTTTTAAAAATCGTTAATAGTAAAAATATAATTGTGACTACATTGTATATTTTAAAATGAAATATCAGAAACTAATTTGATTAAATTTCATCCTTGAAGTAGAGTTTATATAAATTTATAAACAGATTTATGTTACAATAATATTCATTTCGTACTTATGTTTTCCAACTACATTAAAATTGCACATAAAATTACTGGGATGGGAAATTACAAAATGTATAATATATTTTGTATTAAATTACAGTCCTTTGAAATTACACGTAGTCTTATTACTTTTGTGTTATCAAACTGTAATATTTATAATAATAATGCAAAAAAAAAAAAATTTAATACGCTAAAAATATATTGATTGATACGAAATGATTTGTCCAATATTAATAATACTTCAATTAAATCTTTAAGGGCATGTCCTATTTACTCAATAGTAAAATGGTTTGCATATATTTTATGCAAATAAATGTGCGAAATAAAAAAATATCGAATAAAAATAAAATATTAAACACAATGTATTATTCTGATACGTGACCATACAGTAAACCTCCCAGAGTTAGAGGACAATATTTGTCATAAATGTGAAATAACTGTATCAAGGATATTATTTTCATTGTCGAATTTATGTTTTAATTCTACTTTCACAATAATCAACTATTTACATTAGAATAACATACAGTTCACTGGTAAATTTTTATTGAATAGGATAGCAAAATCAAATTAAATATCAGATATAATTATAATACAACTAAATCACTCAAGTTCGTCAATAAAACAGACATGAAATTATTATTGATAATTCATTATAGTGTTAAAGATTAAAAAAATATAAAAAAGTCAACATTCTGAACGAAAAGTAAAAACAAAAGAATCATTAGAAGACCTCCACTATGTAATTATAAGTAAAACTATCTTAAAATGTTACCAAATTATGTTTATTTCATCAAAAGCAAATAATTCATGTAAATAATGATGTACAAAATATAGTTTAAAAGTCATTTTTTTTACAAGAACTTATAAATTGTTATATTCATTATTTTAAGTCAACAAAAAATCAAAGTAAAGTTTAAATTGATTACCACATTAAGTTTATGATAAATTTTCTGTATGAGACTCTAATGAAAGTTATAGTGGGTTAACAAACTGTCACTTGCTAGACAGCGATAGATCAATATTATATGCGTCTAGAGTAGCATCATGACATGCTAAAGTGTCAATCAAAAAACAAAACATGTGGGATGAAAATTTAATGATAATATAACAATGGTAGGTTTAATATTAATGGAGAAAAATAATTATGTAAGCTATATACATGAAACAAACTAAATAATATATCTGTAACATTAATTGTTTGAAACTCAGAATTCTTTTGCCTATAATTTATATATTTTATTTACATATCTCTTAAATAATGATTATTATAGTTATAAATTCGAAATATTTTGATAAAATAAATTTACAAGAAATTATATGATGAAATATACTTTTCACTGCGATATAAGAACGCGTTTTTTTAGTCGATAATTATTTTTACTTTCGTTGAATACTGGCGCCGTTAAATAACGTCGTACAGTCAACGCTCGAAACCGGTTTGGAGTCGATATAAATCTGTCAACATACATACTATGTGACTGCTTTCGTTTTTTATTAATTTATTTGAACACTTATACATTTTTTATTTTTATATTTTTCGCTATAATTTTAATATTTTAAGAGAAGCAGAATTATTACATTTTTAACCTTATGATGTAAATTTGTATTTTTCATTGAATATTTTTGATTTTGTTCTAGAACTTAGTTAGTGTGATATTGTAGTCGCCTTCTACATATCTTCTGTATAGCTATCATTCCATCATTTGTGCAAACAATTTTTTTCTCTAATATATAATAAAAAAATTTCTTATATAACACTATTAAAATTTTGTCACGTTCTGTTTTGTTGAATAGTCAATAATGAAAATAGTACTTCCAATATAAATAGGTTGCAGAGGAAAAATAAAAAATTCACCATTAAGGTATTAAGGTGACTTTAAGGTAGCTTTAATAGATTTTTTTTATGCTTATCTCCACTGACTCTTTATTTTGCTTTAAAAAAACATTACGGGAATAATTCTGTACAAGAAAATGTATATAAAATTACTGCATTAACTAATAACCAATAAAAATAATGCATTCCAAATGATTACTCTTAATTATTTTATGTTGTCATTTTATTTGTACTTGAAATGTAAATATTTTTATAAAGTAAAATAAAAATTTGATATTTTTTAGACCTTGATCATTGCTTGCTTGGCTATCCAATGCAGCTATGTATTATCAACTGACTGTACTGACTCTCAACAGTCAGGTTATGGTCAAAACGGTTACCAAACATTATCGCATTCTTCACCATCTTATGACGTTCAATCATCATACCAAAAACCCAAATATCCAGTAGCTCAATACACTCCTTCATCACCAGCCTATGGTTCACAATCACTGTCATATGCTGCCCCATCTTATTCTTCCCATTCATATAAGCCACAATCATACAACACACCTTCATATAATCAACATCAGTCATACTCTGTTCCATCTTACAACCAACAACAATCGTATTCTGCACCAGCTTACAACCAACACCAGTCTTATGCTGCCCCAGCTTATGGAAAGCCACAATCTTACTCTGCACCAGCTTACAACCAACACCAGTCTTATGCTGCCCCAGCTTATGGAAAGGCACAATCTTACTCTGCACCATCCTACAACCAACACCAGTCTTATGCTGCACCGGCTTACGATAAGCCACAATCATACTCTACTCCAGCCCACAACCATCAACAATCGTATTCTGCACCAGCATATAACCAACACCAGTCTTATGCTACACCAGCTTATGGAAAGCCACAATCTTACTCTACTCCATCCCATAACCATCAACAATCTTACTCTGCACCAGCTCACAACCAACACCAGTCTTATGCTACACCAGCTTATGGAAAGCCACAATCCTACTCTGCACCATCATATAACCAACACCAATCGCACTCCGGTCCATCTTACGATAAGCCACAAGCATATTCTTCTCCAGCCCACAACCATCAACAATCTTACTCTGCACCAGCTTACAACCAACACCAGTCTTATGCTACACCAGCTTATGGAAAGCCACAATCCTACTCTACACCATCATATAACCAACACCAATCACACTCTGCTCCAGACTACAACCAACATCAGTCATACCCCACACAGGCCCATTCATATGGTAAACAACCAGCTTACCAAGAACACAAATCCTACAACGAGGAATCTTACTCTCCAAAACCATACAGCTTTGAATATCACGTAAATGACGAACACACTTACGACATTAAAAGCCAAAAAGAAGAAAGTGATGGCTACAACGTAAAAGGATACTACTCTCTTGTCGAATCTGATGGTTCCCGTAGAACTGTTGAATACACTGCCGACGAAAATGGATTCAACGCTGATGTGAAAAAAGAAGAAGGTAATGGTTACAACAAAATTGCCCCAGCTTATAACAAAGAAACATCTGCTTACAGTGCACAAAGCCAAAAAGAATACAGTACACCATCATACTAATTAAAATAATATATATATTATATTATTAACTAATTATGTTGTAATAAATTTCATAATTTACTTAGCTAAAAAACTGTTAGAGTAGTTATGTTATTTTAAACTATTACTGTATTAAATTTTTTTCAGACAAACTTTAATAGAAACGTCTTTATTTAATAATAACGTATTATTATTTTTTTTTAATTGACCTATTTTTATAATTTTTAATTATAAGCATCACAAATATAGTTTGTAACAGCATCAACTGTTTACTAGACAAAGCAGTGGGTATCCTTATATGAGTGCTAAAATGACTCCGTAAAAACCAACCAACGAATATTAGTTCATTTTATTGTTCAAATATCTCCTGAGTTTCTTTTAGTGAACTCATCAAAGTCTTGTTACCTAAGAAAATTCAATATTAAAATAAAAAATTTCTTGAGTATCAAAGTTAATTCATGTACAAAAAAAGTTTATCGAGAGTAAGAATACTGATATATTTTACATTTTATCATATATTCAATAATAGATAAATATTAATTTTTGACTAGGTATGTTTAAAATTTATTAATATAACAAAAAGAATACAACTTTTAAAAATTTATCATTCAAAGTAAATAATTACACATTTTTAGAATAGATCACTAGGTTTTTGAATCTATAAAATCATGAAAACATTAAAATAATATTATTTTGGTGATTTTTATAAAACTAATATTTATGTATAAAATTGATAAAAGGCATGAAAAAAAATATATATTTAAAAAAACTAATTTTACATTAATTTATTTTTAAAATTATATTAATAAAAACCGGCTAAAAAATGCTGTATACAAATAATTTTTTTGTAATAAATATTTTCAATAGTAACTAATGAGTGTGACACATCATAAAAAGCTGTCATCATGTAAAAAATAAACAACACCTAAAATAATGTTTCTCAATGAGGTCATAAGTTTCATCAACTGCCTTTGGAAAATTTCTTAATGACTACTAAAAGAACAGAATGGAAATATTGAATTTGTCAAACAGTTCTGTGTTTAGTTTAAATCATTTTAGTAAGTAAATAAAAATTATGTGGAATTATACAAGTATAAACATAATAAAATTTAATAAAATGATTTGATGGAAAAAAAAATTAAAAGAAGTAATTTAACATATTAAATATATATTTCAGTATTTATAAAACCAATCTATACAAAATATGTATGCTTGAAGGTTTTTTAAAAATAAAAAATAATTTGTAAATTTATAAAACAAAACCTTAAGACATATTATGTATATTGCATAATTAATTTGTGTACTAATAGAGATACTTTTATTTTCTCATGTTTATAGCAATGGCAAAATTATTAATAATTAAATCAGAAAATAAAGCGTTCAAGTTTAATTAGACTTAATATTGTTTGTTAACGAGTACACAAAACCTAATTTTTAGCTTCGATGCCGAGAAGGTATTAATTGAACCATGGTGTGTTTAATTTTATATTAAAAATTACTTGATCAATCTAAGTTCAGTCATAGCCAAATAAGTAGATTCTATTGCTAATGATACGTTAATAGTATATATTATGTCGACTACGTGAGTTTTAAAGCATGTCACCAATATGCAAATATTTTCATTGTAGTTTTGGTAAAAGTGTAGGGTGTAATATGATAAATGAATATATAATAATAATGAATATGTGTGGTCTGAACTGCTAAGTTAAATTATTATTGGTAATCCAAATAAATCTGATATAAAACTAGCTTTTTTTTCACGCGTCAATATTGCATGAATTTGCATAATGTGTTGATTTTTGTCAGTGGGACAGATAATTTCACTTTTTCTTTTGTGCCATTGCCTATTATGCATGTACCTTCGTGAGACAGATCATAATCGATGTTAATGTTCATCTTAATACTTTAAATGCTGACCTTAACGGACAATATTTTACGATTATTGTGTTTACAAATATAGCGCAGTCTCTTTGTAAAGTATAAACTCTAATTTGTTTTTCAAGGAAAATATAAATAATTATTGGAGACATGACTATGAAGTTTGCAAAAAAAAAAAACAAATCTTGACTAAAACAAGTTCAATTGCAAAACAGTTGTATAATAATTTGCATCTATGTGTTGGTAGTCGGTTTATAAAGTAATTCGACTATAATTAGGTATACGTGAATTAAAATTTCCCATTAACAGTGATCGCTAAATTATTTTACATGCCGTAAGAAAATAGTCATTCTACTATAACTGTGTATACTAATTTACCCGCTGGTTTGATTGATTTCGAAAAAAATTATAAAACGTAATAACATTTCAAAAATTGACTAGATCGTAGTAAACTAGTACAAAAAATAATTCCACATAAATTTTTATTGCGGTCAAATAAAAAAAGTGTAATTTTTTACTTCGAAACAATTCGCATAAACAAAAACATTTTATTTTCTTTATCTAAGTGTGTGTCATACACCAGAAATCAGTCAGTAGAAGTATATTAGCCGATTAAGAAGTCAGTACAAAAGAAACTTCACTACTTCCATTTGCTAACACTGGAAATATTAACTCATATTTTGTGGTCCATGCTCGATGACGCATAGACACTGTCTACTATTCATGTGTACTAAAAATACATCACTAAGAATGCAACCAGGCTTACTTTCTGCGGATTGTGCTCTAAGTAGTATAACCTATTACACAATGAAATAATTTGATATCACTGCCCGCTCTACATTTCAGATAAGTCGGTTTTTTAATTTTGACGAACACAGTTGAGTGATTAATTGAAAATCCTAACGTGTCAATTAGCCTGTTGCAAGTGTATATTTTAAACGAAATTACAATACCGAAAGACTTTAATGCTGCGCTATAGGTATGGTGCCTATATCGAATTGTGTAATGAATTATTATAAAACTCAACGAGTAACTCGTGCATAATGTATTTTCCCATGAGTATGACACAAATTAGTAAGACACGTGGATAATCTAGTAAACTTTTAATTTTAGATGTAATCAACATGATATTTTTATTACTAGAGCGGTTCCACTTTATTTGCGAAATTTAAAAGAAAGTGTTACTTAAATCATTTATTTCTTTTATAATCTGAGAATACTTCTATTTTTTTGAAATTATTCACACAACATACTAAAAGTTAAAAAAAATTAATAGCCAAACTATGAAACATTTAAAAGCGTCTCCAAAAATGTATACTGAAAGGAACTGGAAAATTTGATAAAATAAGTCATATATTTACACTAAAGTATAAATGTATGGCTTATTAAATATATTAAATATATGAGCTAAGCAAGTTGACGATTGGAGAAAAATCATCTTCCTGGATTTAAAGTAACATTGTAATATTTGGTAACTTTTTATAGAAATATTTTTAAATATATTAACCATTAATGACAAACTTTCCGAAAATAATTATGTATAATAAATAATTATGAACACATATGTTTGTTTAAGCAATAAAACGATATTTTTTCAAAAACGACATAGTACTATTGTTTATGTCGTATAGTCTTGACTTAAGTATAAATTATTACAAACTTTTTGTTGTAATAGCTATTGAATAACATCAATTATAAAAAGAATTTGACATTGTAAGTCTTATTCAAATTAGGGGAGTACTAGGAGATTTTCGAATAAAATTGAAATGTAGAAAGTTAATTTTTTTTGTTATTTGTAATTAATAAAATACTTATAAATAAAATTTGTAAATTATAATAATAAATTGCTAAATTGCTTATGATTAGTTGAACTAGCTCAGTTGATGAAAATAACAAACCTAATAATCATTTAGAAACATACCTAAAGGGATTATCAAATCAATTTAATATTTTAAATATTTGTACACAGCGATTTTCTTAATTACTTGGTAGACCAATTTTTAATTGTTTTGATATGAACAATAATAAAGAACATAACATAGAATTTTTTTGGAACACATTCAGAGGGTTATTAAGTCACCCTTACCTTAATCCATTATTCTAAATATTATGGTTTAACAATAATTTTTATATAACTCTATTAATAGTGTCAAGTTAAGAGGGTGACATTTTATTTTATAGCAAAATGGCTAAAAATGATTGCATGCCTAGTAAAATTCTACTATACAATTATTTATAAAATAGAATTTCAGTGATTACTAATAAATAAAATTTAAATAATATTATACTATAATAAATATTTAGGTATTTTTTAACACACTAGAATTTACTAATATAATTATATTTTGTGATAAGTAAACTAATATTAATTATGATGATAATTGGCTAACAATAAAAATCCATTTTAGGAACTTATTTTCCATGCTCATTATGTAACAAAATTATAATATAAATGCTAATAAAACAGAGTGTCTTGATTTGACTGCATTTAAATTAAATTGTACGGCAGCATGTATTATTTATTATTTTAAATTTGCTTAATTCTTACAAAAAACTTATGAATAAATTCTGACTCACTAAATTCTAGTTGTGTATTTTAATGCGGGAAATATACATTAGTAATATAATATTTCACTGTGGCAATTTTGAAACGTTAGGGTTTGGTTAAAATTTATGCATATATTTTTTCAATGAAAGGTTTTAAGTAGGATAATTTTTTAAAGTTTAATATAGTTTATACTTAGAACTCTAGTTATCACATTTAATCTTATCAAATTATAACGTTCACGAAGTGTTTCGTTCGTTGATCTCTAAAAAACTTTAAACTTTTAAAGTATCATAGCACGTTATGATCTGTTATTAAATCACGAACAAACACATAAATATATCGCTCATAGAACTCTGTCTCCTAGTGCCCCAAAGCTCACGCTTTCCGATAAAAATTTTGTCGCGACAATGTTCTTGACCCGATTGTTAAAATATTAATAATAACCGACATGTTATTATTATTATTATTACATTGTTAATAACTTATTGACACGTCGATTTTTTCGAACACTATTTTTTTTTTGCATATTGCTATAACTACTAGTCATTGGCTTTAGTTTTTCCCCTAGAGTCTTGTAGACCCCGAGGGTTGTAATGGTGGCGGGAAATACTGCTGTCACAGAGCCATAGCGACAATACCCCCACGCCACGGTTGTCATATGGACCGCCCGGTCCTCAACTTTGTTCGTATATAAACCGAAAACCGTGTGCTCTTAGTCGTACAATCATCCCATTCGAAGTAAGTGGACCGGTTCGATTTGTACACTCCAAGAATATAAGGAAACAATGTCGTTTAAAGTGAGTATAATATAATACACTACATCATAGTTTAATTGATATTACTGTGCTTGTTCTACCGGAAAAATCAATTATTTACGCATTGATTAAGCTTAAAACTATTCTACTTATCTATTTTTATCTTCATCGAGTTGACGAACGACGCATGTCGTCATTACTTAATCTAATTGTAACGTTTTGCATCTTTGATAAAAACAACAGTGATGTTAATTTATACAAATAGTTAAGATGTATATCATCTGCTCGTAAGTTAATCAGTTTTAATTAAACATTTTACAAAATATTAATAGATTTAAAATTTTCTACCATTAAACGAAGTAATAGTTTCCTTTATTATTTTTTATTGAAAAGGATAATGCAATAAAATATTAAATTTACGGTTGACATAATCAGAAATAAGTTCATTCATATTGCACTAATATTACAATACGGAGTCAATATTTACGCTGAAGTAAATACAAATTTAATTAACTTTTCGAGTAAAAAACTATAGCACCCTCAAATAAACAATAATAATTGTATTTTACTTTATTATTTGTATTGAGGGTTTAAATAAAAATGTTTAAAAAGTACGCATATTTTGGATCATATTTGTAGTTTATTCTTATGAATAATTCGTGCTTAAGATATTTAAATAACAAGCTTAAAAATACTATAAACAAAACTTATCTATAAGAATCAGCTATAAACATGATCCTTAATCTTTCAATCTCATTAAATCACTTGAAAACAAAAGACAAATTTTGCGAATTCATTTTTCAAACTATAAATAATTCACTAACAAATAACATTTTCTAGGGGAAAATGTTTGCATTGAATTATTTTAAGTGTTATGCAAAAAAATATTTCACATAATAACGATATATTTTTCTAATAGTTATTTAACTTATATTTTTGAATTTCTCTAATGTCCTAATTTTCGCCCACGGCCAAAAGAATTAGAATTAATTAAAACCACATATAATTCATTTGATTTGCTAATAGTACTATAAACAATTCGAATAAATTTTTAAGTCGATGGTAGGATGCAACCCACGTAAATTTACATAAAGTAAAACAAAATATAAACATATATCTTGTCTAATATGGATTTCAGTTAAGCAACATCAAATTAAAGCGTTTTTATTAGACTAATTATCTTGAATATAATTTTTGTAAAATTATATCATAGTGAAAATTAGAAAAACGTCAATTTGTACATCAATGTTATAATTTCTTTGACGAGTTCTTATACCCTTTATAACTTTTCTTAATAGTTATAATTATAATTTTTTTTTATTAAATTCAGGAAAATAAAAATTAAACAATATTAATTCTCCGTGGTAATTGAAAAAAGCTAAAAAAAAAAAAATGTACAAAGTTTTTAAAATTCGTCCAAGAGAGGAAACTATATTTAAAAAAAATTGTGCTTGATTATATTTCATGAAAAACTAATTCCCTAGAGTTGGATTTTTTTATGAAAAATAAAAAAAGTTATTTTTTTAANTCATGAAAAACTAATTCCCTAGAGTTGGATTTTTTTATGAAAAATAAAAAAAGTTATTTTTTTAACATTTGTGAAATTTGTGAGCAATTCTATGACCGATATACTAGCCGTTTGTATTGATAATTAATTTGGTAAATATACTTTATTTTTTGTATTTCTTGAAAGTTAGCAATAAGTAATTTGTGATTTTGCTTATAAAATAACGTTCATTTTACTTTATAACATTTAATTTCCATTAAAAGACTATTCGAAGATCAAGTTTTATAAACATTTTATATCATTATTTAATGTTTTCAATACTTGTGGTAGAGTAATGAGTTTTTTCTATTACTACTTTTATGGCGTGTAATAAAATGTTAAATTAATTCAGGTGCTCCGCAGGGCACTGAGACAAAATCAGCTAAGTAGATTACAATGTTAACTAACATGTGCATTCTAAATGAGTCACATTACATAAGAACACGTGACAATTGTACTCACCGAGGTTAAGTACAATTAAATTTGTGTTTGACCTCTCGTCCAAGTTGACGAAATTCAAAATTAGGTATTTCAACCATATTTGTTTTTTTCACCGTTTATAATAACAATTCAAATTAAAGGATTTAGAAAATAAAAATAATTATAATTACTTTATTGTGTACATTATTATTATATTATAATTTTAATAACTATAATATTAAGTTTAATAAATATTCAATGATTAGAGTAAAGTTTGATTGTTATTAATTTTAATTAAATTATACTATAGTAAATTTCATTTTATTACAAACATTCAAGTAATACGTTGAACTATTAAAAAAATTGCTTTCTATTCGATAGTTATGAAAAAAAACTTGAATGGGTCTAATCGCACAGACAATTGTTATAACCTCCTCAATGTCATCAAATTATATTCGTTATTGTATCAAAAAAATTTATTTCTCGAGAAATAAATTTGAATTAAATCTCTCATTTATTTATTTTATTCTTTTTTTTCAGCATTTAATCGTAGTGGTCTGCCTGATGGTTGCTATTAAGGCAATTTCAGTGCCTACTTATCCTTCAGGTCCTTCATATCCGTCGGCTCCTACATACAAACCAGCCTTAACATATAAGCCAGCACCAGCATATCTCTCAGCTCCATCTTATTCCCCACGTCCATCATATGCTTCAGCGCCAACTTATGCACTAGCACCAACATATGCACCGCCACCATCTTATTCGCCAGCACCATTGTATTCGCCTGCACCATCATACTCACCTGCACCATCATATGCACCTGCACCTTCATATTCACCAGCACCATCGTATCAACCTGCACCTTCGTATCAACCAGCACCATCGTATCAACCAGCACCATCGTATCAACCAGCACCATCGTATCAACCAGCTTATAAGCAATACGAACCAGAGTACACACCAAGACCATATAACTTTGAATACTCTGTTAACGACTATTACACCGGTGATGTTAAAAGCCAAGCTGAATACAGTGACGGTAAGAATGTCAAGGGTTACTACAGTTTGATTGAGCCTGATGGCACCAAGAGGATTGTCGAGTACACCGCTGACGAAAACGGTTTTAATGCTGTAGTTAAGAAAGAAGGTACACCAACTTATGCACCCGCTCCAGCTTACAACAAACCAGCACCAGCCTACAAGCCAGCACCTTCTTATGCGCCAGCTCCAACGTACGCGCCTGCGCCAGCTTACCCATAGACTCCAATTTTAAGACTCACTCCTAGTGATACTTTTCCGATGGCTAAAATGCCATCATGTATAAAACCATTAGAGATTAAGCTACTATTCTTGTCATTGTCTGTCAGTATTAAGTATTTTTTTATTCGTACACAAAATTATGCTAGTGTAATTTTATTGACACTGTAACTGTCATAATAAAGTGTACATAAATCTTGTATGTAATGTTTAACATACAATTTGTTTTGTTTTTACTTCTGCTTGCTTTATTTTCGCTACTATTTTATAATGCTAATAAAATAAAATATAAAACAAAATGAAAAAAAAAAACTACTTAAATACTTATTTACTTATTTTTACGTTTTTTTTTCTTTTTGTAGTTATAGATAAATAATTTCAGAACACTATCACTGTGGTTTGTGACAGTATGGAAGGTGAACAATTTACTCGAATGCGTAGGAGAATTCATTGAAAAGAAACGCGAAGACAATGCACGTTTACGAAATAAATATTTGTGTGAGCCATGTGTTTTGTTTGGGGGAAAGCTTTAATGGCTCAACAGTAATACTGTGATTCAATGGTAAAATAATGACAATAGTGAATATTCAATTACTAGTATAGCTAAAAGCAAGGAACATATTTCTCATGTACAATTATTGAGTTTCGGAGATCACGGTTGAAGGATAAACAAATTAAATTACAATAACAGCATCTATTGTCAAATACATTTCGTTTATCTAAACCCTTCAATGTTTTAACGATAATTCGTAATAAATTAACATACATATAACTTATGCCCTAACAAAGTATTCAATAAAATTTTTTCTATACTATACATAAACAAATTTGGGTTTAAAAAAAAAATTTAAATTTAAAGTAAAACAGAAAGGTGAAAAATCATATTTTTTTAAAATGTAACAGATTAATATTTCATAAAGTAAATGACATCATCTTTAAAATGTTCCATCATCAAAACAATTTGGTTTTTCATTTTTTAGGATTTTTTAGATGTTTGATGTTTTTATATGTTTTTTATACTTAGTTGTGCGATATTTTCATTAGACATTTATACCAAATTATTTTATAAATGTAGTGCTAAAAGAGACGAGTTCAAATTTGAATAAAAAAAACATATATTTTGTCTCAAAATGACTTTCTTTTTTAAGTTTTCATTGGCACATCGTTTAGTTGGAATGTATAAGTTTAGAGTTTGTGGTCGCTACTGAAACGACAGTAATTACTATTT